TTGCAAACTCAGCGGTTCCGGATCCCGGCAGCCTGGGGTACGACCGCCCGTGTCCTCCTTGAGCTGCGTGACCGGGGCCTGCGTCCTTAGCCTCTCTGTTGGCAGCGCTCCTCTGTCCTGTGGGGTGGAGATGAGTCGGAATCACCCCTGGGGCCGTGGGTGAGGCTTGTTGAGTGAGTGGAAAAAGTATCATACCTACATCCTCGTTCGGGAGTCTGCAAACTCTTGTTGTAAAGGACCCGTGGGCAGATGTTTTCAGCTGTGCAAGCTGCCAGGCGGCCTCTGCCACCGCCCTCCTCTCCCCTGATCACCCTGTGCCTGCAGTCCTGGTGTGGAAGCACTCTGAGGTCATCTGTGGCCAATGGGTGTGGCCACGAGCCGATAAAGCGTTATAGGAAAGGGCAGGTAGTGGGCCCAGGCAGTCGTATACAGTAAGACGGGCAGGGAGGGTGCCCAGGGGAACAGAGGGAGTTTCTGCAGAGGGAGCAGCCCGTGCAAAGGCCCTGAGGCCGCGTGAGCTGGAGGAGCGAGGAGCAGACCCACCCTCATTCAGCAGGGCTTTGCTGACACCACTGTTTGTTCTTCCACTGGACGGCGTGTCCCAGGAGAGAAGAGTCTCCCGCTTACAGGCCTGGTGCATCCGAGCGAGCGGGTGGCTGGCTGGGGGAGACACCGATAGAGGCCCAACCCCCCTCCTCCTGCTGCTCTTCACTCATCCGGAGACCCCAAAGGATGACTTGCTGGGGGCCTGACTTGTGACGTCTGTGGCGTATTTCACGGAGGGGGATGCAGTGGGTGTTTAAGTTACAATGTTTCCTTGCTTCCTATCTAGCTTATCTTTGGTAACAGGGACCACACGCAGTGTGGCGAGGTGTCTCGTTTCCCAGCACCAGCGGCAGAGCCGGCGTTTGGTAAATGTATTGACGGAGGTTCTGTCAATGGAAAGGCGGTACTCACGGAAACCGTTTTTAAGATGAGGGATGTGACTTAACGTCAGAGCCCCGCGTCACCCTCCGAACCCCTGAAAAGCCACGCCCTGCCTATGTTGATCAACAAATACGGTTGCACTCCGAGTCAGCGCCCACTCACAGCGACCCTGTGGGACAGGGCAGAACTGCCCCTGGGGGTTTCCCCCCTCTCTCTCTTTTCCCTCTAAACGATTTCACGGGGAGCTAACACCCCCGTTCTTTTTCCAAAGGTGCTCTTCCTTCCTCAACTCCTTGACATCGTCCCCCGTCACCACCGCTGTGCCCTGAAACCCTTGTTCTACTTCTTGTCCCCCCATCGGTTCAGTCCTGGGTCTCGTGGCCCCCACTCTCTAGAGGCACAGAAAGCCTCTTTCCTCTCACACAGAGCTGGTGGTTTTGAACTGCTGACCGTGAGGACTGCAGCCCGATGCGGAACCACTAGGCCACCAGGGCACAGCCGTGTGGAGGAAACTTCTCCAGGGATTGCACATTGGCTGGAGAGCAGGGCTCCCACATTCTCGCCCCCACCACCCCATGGTGTAAGGGCCTTCCTTTTTTTTTTTTAACTCCATTGTCAACTTGGGAAAATGAGGCGCTTCCCGAGAGCCCAGAGCCCTGGCTCTGGGATGCAGGGATCTGCTGTCCCTGGTGGTCAGCCGGGTGACAGTGAGTCACAGCCACTGCCGTTAGGTAGACGGATGGTTCTGCTTGTTCGGGCCCATGGGGTCCCAGCTGACTGGGTTTTCTGTGCCCTCTTCCAGCCCCATCTGTGGCACAGCTGTCTTTTCTGCCCTGATCCCTGTATAATCTGTTCTCCCCAAGCAGACTCAGGACACCTGAGCCAGGGCCCGTCCCACCTCTGCCTACAGCCCTCCAGGGCTCCCACCTCCTTGAGACCCGAAGGGTCCTCCACACCCTGCCCTGTCCACTCCCCACTCTCCCCTACCCCTCCTCCTCTTGCTCCTCCTCCTTCTCGCTCGCTCACTGGCTGCACATCCTGTTTCCCAGCTCACCGGGCCCTGCCCTGCCCCTGGGCCTTTGCACAGGCTTGCATTCTCTGCCGAGACCTGTCTTCTTCAGGTGTCCCCTGGCTCATGCTCTCACCATTGTCTGTCTCGGTCAGGTGCCGCCTTCTCTGCCGCCTGGGCTCCGCATTCAGGGTCGACGTCGGCCGCCATCTTTGCATGGGCACCGCTGCCTGTCTGGTACCTGGATCAAAAGGCACCAAGAGGGGTGGCTGCTGTGCAGTCTGGCCACTGCCCCCGTTCCCCTCGACCAGGGCGGGGTGACTTCGAACCCGTTCAGAACCCACAGCCGCCGAGTGGGTACTGACTCACAGCCAGCGACCCTGCAGGGCAGCACAGGACAAACGGCCCCATGGATTTCTGAGGCTGTACGGGAGTCTGAGGCCTCTTCTTTCTCTCCCAGGTGAGCTGGTGGTTTCGAACCGCCAGCCTTGTGGTCAGCAGCCCCATGTGTAGCCTCGACACTAGTGAACAGAGGCCGAGTCGTCAGAAGGAATTCAGTGGGGGGACCTTGCAAATGGATTTGGGGGCTGTCACCGTCGTCCGTCCATGGCCTTCTGCAAACGGGCTGCTCGGGATTTAAGCTCGGCTACGTGAGGGGCTGCCAACTGCCAACTGTCCAGTAATAACCGCTGGTGACGCTTTATTGATGACCCTGACGTGTTGGGACGTCAGCACACGGGGCCACTTCCGCTTTTCAAAACATTCACTCTCCTTACCGCGTCCCCTCTGCTGCCCTCCCACCCGCCCTCTGTCCCACTCTGCGCCCTGACCGTCCAGCCGCCCTGACCGTGGCCCCAGAGCCCCGCGGGCCCTGTTTAGAATGCTGAATCAGTCACGGGATGAGCCCCTTCGTGGGTCAGCGAGAGGCAGCTCTGGGTCCAAATGAAACCGAATGAAACTCGTGCCGTCCACGGCGATTCCGACTCACAGCGACCCCAGAGGACAGGGTAGAACTGCTCCAGTGGGTTTCCCGGATGGTAACTTCTTACTGGACCAGAAAGCCCACCTTTCTCCCACAGGGGAGCTGGTGGTTTTAAACGGTTGACCTTGCTGTGCCAGCCCAGAGCTGAGCTACTCAAGAGGGACGGTCAGGGAAGCAGGAGGGTCACGCCAGTTCCCCTGCCCAACCCTGGGGTGCTTGAAAGTGCCGCAGAGCAAGGGGGTGACGCGGAGGACAGACAGCCATGGTTACATCTCATCGCCTCCGAAGCACGTGAATGTGGGACACAGAACAGGGAAGCCGGGAAAAGCATCGCGGTGTGTGAAGGATGGTGCCGGAGAAGAAGGCCGGAAGTTCCACAGATGCCCAGAGGGCCAATGGGTCTGTCTTGAACGAATGCAGCCAGGATGGGGCCCCAGGAAGGCAGGGTCAGAGAGACCCCAGTGAGAGAGAGAGAACGGGAGGGAGGGAGGGAGAGAGAGAGAGAGAAAGAAAGGCTCACACAGCATCAGCAGACCCCACACCGGGCCAGGTGGGACTACGAGCAGGCAGGGTGGTCACAGGGTCCCCAGCAGTGAGAGGCGTGGGGTCCACGGACTGGAGAGAGGCCAGCTGAGCAGACTGAGCCAGATCTAAGGGAGGAGTGAGCGGGCACGTGGGCGGGCCGGGAGTCCAGAGGGATGCAGGCATTGCCTGGCAGTGAGGGGCTTGCCAACACCAGTTAGGGATGCAGACACTCAGGATAGGGCTTCCTGTTTACTGGGGTTGGGGACACGGGCCCCGAAAGGCCTGTGGGTCCCTCCACTGCCCCCCCCCCCCAATGTTGAGCCAGGTCGGCAACCAGGTGACCAGATATACTCAGCCGCGCTGGTGACCAGAGACCAGAGAAGGGCGCTCCCCATCTTGCCCCACTCCATCCCAGTGCTTAGGCCCCCCCCCCATCTTATGTCGCCTCACCTGGCAGTAGATGAAGCACCCCCCTTTTCCTGTGTGGAGGTCCACCTTGTGCCCGCCCCTTCCTCCTGCTGCCCCCACTTCCTGCTCCAGGCCCTGGGATGTCCCCTGGTGGGTCAGACCCTACGCGACGCCGCCTCCATGCTTGGCAGTGCCCTGAGGTGCCCGCTGCCACCCTGCTACTGCTCTTCCCCTTTCGGTTCCCTCTTCCCCTTTTTGGCCCCCACATGGCAGGAGGCAGTGCCCTTGTCCCCGCTTCCCAGTCACACAGATGACACCTGCTGCTCCACCCTGCGTCGCGCGTTCAATGATTGGCAGTGGCGAACACCCCCAGCTCCCCCTTCAACTGTTCCACACGGATACCCCGTGCCTCACCCATTAGGACGCAGGTGGTGAGCGCCCCAGTGCTGCCAACCGAGGGCGTGCAGAGTGGAGTGGCACATGCCCACCCGCTGTCTGGGCGGATGGAAACACCGGGCCAAAACTGATGACGGTGCAGACACCGTGTAAAAGTGATGCTGTGGCCACCGTGTTCCCCAGATGGCAGGCACCCTCGGGGTCTGGAAAGGGGCGGGCGGCTCCAGTAACGACCCAGACAGTGGTGGTTAGGGGCCACCCGTTGGTTCCGGCCCAACAGAACGAAACCCGGTCTGGTCCTGCGCCGTGCTCACAGTTGTCCCCGTGCCGGAGCCCAGTGGTGCAGCCTTGGTGTCTGTCCACCTCCCTGCCGGCCTTCTTGTTTTCACTGCCCCCGTGTGTTACCTTCTCCAGGGACTGACATGGAGGGCCACCGAGTCTTCCCGAGGGACAAAGAGCAATGGAACTGCCTGGTGGGGAATTCAGAACTCTCTTTCAGCAGAGAGAGAGAGACAGGGAGAGACAGAGAGACTTGGTCTGACATACTTTGGGCAGAAATGCTTTGTGGGGAGAGCCTCATCTTTTTCCCATGGAGCGGCTGGTGGTTTTGAACTGTTGACCTTGTGGTTCCCAGCCCAACGCGCAACCACTGCACCACCTGAGCTCCCATGTCCTCATCTTGCAAGAGGACGCCCCGGGGTTGGGGGAGGTGGCGTGCTCTGCCAAGCTGGCCCCGGGAGGACTCGCACTGGTGTTTGGAGGCTAGCGGGCTGTCTACCCCCTTTTGATGATAACCCCTGTGCCCTCTCCTCCGACAGGGCTGCTCCGTGAGGCCCCCCAACACGCTGACTGGGGAGGTGGACGCCTGAACATGCCTCGGCCGCTCAGGGCTGCTCCCGGAGTCCGCAGCCCGCCGTGCCCATGGCCTGCCCAGAACCCTCACTGCCTGGCGCCTTCCTCCGTCTCAGTGCGGCTGGCCAGGACAAGCTCCTGCATCTGAAGCATAAGCTGAAGGCCCTGCAGCCCAGCTGCCGGGGGGCCGGCCTGCTGCGCGCCATGGTGCTCCTGGCCCTGGGCCAGGACACGGAGGCCCGGCTCTCCCTGGAGGCGCTGAGGTCTGACCCCGTCGCCCGGCTGGTGGCCCATCGCTGGGCCGGCTCGGACGGCCCCGAAGCCCCGGAGGAGCCGCTGGAGGAGGCCTGGGCGGTCGCCCGCCTGTACCACCTGCTCGCAGAGGAGAAGCTGTGCCCAGTGTCACTGCCGGAGGCCGCCTACCGTGTTGCCCTGCAGGCCTTCAGCACCGATGCCCGCCTGCCCGAGCTCCAGGCTGAGGCCCAGCAGCGGTGCGGGTGGGATGTGGCCGATCTGGGGGGCTTCCGGCCCCTGTGCTCCGATCGGGTTGGGCTCCTACTGCCCTCAGCGCCCCCCTCGGGGACCAGGAGCCTCCCGAGACCCATCAGGGACTCCTGGAACTGGAGCCTGGCTGGACCCCTGAGGTCCACAGGCAGCCCGGCCTCCCTGGCCAGCAACTTGGAAATCAGCCAGTCACCCACCATGGCCCTCCTCACCCAGCCCACCAGCACCCCCGGGCCCAGCAAGCTCAGCCACCAGCCTGCAGCCAGCCTGGGGGGTGAGTCTGTTCCCATGGGCCGCCAGGAGCCGGAGCAGGTCAGCTGGCCGCCCTCTGTGCAGACTGACCCTCCCCAGGAGCTGCCGGACAGTCCAGCCCCCCAAGTGCCTGTGGCGGACCCTGGTCCAGGTCTCCCCCACCCTTCAGCACCTCCAGAACCCAGAGCTCACTGTCCGGTGGAGTGTTCCGAGGTATCTGAAGCGCCCCCCTCTCCTCCCACACCGGCCCAGTCTCTCTCCCCACCCACCCCGGAGCCCCCCGGGGACCCCAGCCAGGACGGGACGCTGCTCTCAGGTCCAGGAGGTGACACGGCCTCTCAGAAAACCAGGCTGAAATCCCCTCCTCCCCCGGCCCCCCAAACGCCCTCTCCATCTCCGTCGTCTTCCCTCCCGAGCGCGACCCCCGAGTCGACATCTTCCAGCCTGCTGCCCCCGGGGGTGGCGTCCCCGGAGGAGGAGGAGGAGAAATTCTACGGCTTCGTGGTCCTCCACGCCAGGGCCGACGAGGCCGTGGCCCTGCGTGTCCGCCAGAAGCTGGAGGCCCTGGGCGTGCCCGACGGGGCCACCTTCTGCGAGGACTTCCAGGTGCCCGGGTGCAGCGAGCTGAGCTGCCTGCAGGACGCCATCGACCGCTGCGCCTTCACCGTTCTGCTGCTCACGCAGAACTTCGACTGCCGCCTGAGCCTGCACCAGGTCACCCAGGCCCTGATGAGCAGCTTCGGGCGGCAAGGCTGGCAGGACTCCGTGGTGCCCTTCCAGCCCCTGGAGACACCCCGGCTCACCTCCGACGTGTCCCGCCTGCTCTCCGGCCTGGTGCCCCTGGACGAGCACTCCCAGCTCTTCGACCGGAAGGTGAAAGGCACCTTTAAGAAGCAGCGGCTGCAGGCGCGCAGGGCCCGGTGGGAGAAGGAGCGGCAGGCCCGGGCCTTCCGGGAACGCAGACAGCACCTGGAGGCTGAGCGGCAGCAGGCGGCCGACGTGCACGCGGCCTACTCGGCCTTGGTACAGACCCAGCTGGCCTGGCAGGTGCAGATGGAGCAGCTGCAGGCGGCCTTTGGGGGGGTATCCTTGCACGCCCAGGTGCCCTTGGGGGCTCAGGTGCCCTTTGGAGGGCAGGTGCCCCTGGGGGTCCCGCCCACCTGGCCAGCCTGCCCTGGGCCACGTCCGCCGCAGTGGCCGGCTGGTACCCGTCCTGCGGCCTTCCTGCCAGCCCCTCCGAGCCCTGGGCTGCAGCCCCTCATCATTCAGCACGCGCAGATGGTCCAGCTGGGGCTGAGTAACCACATGTGGGGCCAGGGGGGCGTCCAGGCCCCCGAGGACAAGAGCCAAGAGGCAGACTGACCCCGTGGTCGAGCTCCATGACCTTGGCCTGAGGGGATACTGAGTCACGGACCCACCTACTCCTTGCCCGGTGTGGGAGGCAGGGTCATCAGTGACTCGGTCATCACTGACCCTTCAGTGGCCCGAGGACGGGCACAGGCTGGGTGACAGTGGCTGTGGCCTCTAGGAAGGCCGGATTTAGATCTGGTGTTCCTAGGTGTTTGCCCACTCTGTGGGTCGGGGTGGGGTATCCTTGGGGCAGTGGTGGCATATGGGCTAGGGACCTTTATTTGTAATAAATCATTCTATAGTAATTCTCGGGCGACCTTGTCCTCCAGGGGTCCTTTGCCCCTCGCCCTTTTTTAAAAAGTCAAAACAAAACTATCTATTGCGCTGTGATGGATGGCGGGGACAGTCCAGGACCGGGCAGTGTGTCGCTGTCACGCATGAGGTCGCTGTGGGTGGGAACAGAACTCACGGCACCCAAGAGCGGTTTATCGCGGATGGTCACACTCGCTCGCTCGCACACATTTTGTTTCTTCTCAACCCTTGCCGCCCCTCCATGTCCCCATCAACGGGCGTGCTTGTTGTCAGGAGAGACCAGCCCCTGGGGAATGATCTCACGCTTGCCGTGGTCCAGTGGAGGGGCAGCGGGAAAAGGGGAAGGCCTTCTGTGAGCTGGACTGACCCAGGGGCTGCCACCGTGGGCTCAGGCCAAGTGGCTGAGGACGGCGCTGGAGCGGGTGGTGTGTTGTTCAGGGACTAGGTCGCTACGGTGAGGAATCAACCGGAAAGCACTGAACAAGCCCGTACCGTCACTTAATACTGCCGGTGCCTGTGGCCCTTCCCCAGCCCTCTGAACCTGGGGCCCCAGTCAGTGGTACCTCGTGGCGCCGTGGAAGCCCCGGGGGGCAGTGGTTACGTGTTTGACTGTGGTCCACAGGGTCGGCAGTTCAAAACCACCAGCTTCTCCATGGAAGGAAGAGGAGGGGTCCTACTCCATTAAGAGTTACAGTCGCGATTGGCAAGCTTTCCAGCTTCCAGCCCTTGAATGTGAAGTGTCCTTGGCTTGTCTGGCAATAGTCTCATTCACTCCTCAGTAAACCACATTGAAATACAAAAAAAGAGTTAGTCATTCACCGAACAACAGAAACGTCGGTGATGGGAGACGGTGGATGGTGCAAGATATGAAAATAGTAATTTATAATTTATCAAGGGCTCAGAAGGGGGGGGGAGGAAACATATGCGCTCGTGTGGAAAGAAAAGGCTTTGAAAAGGATGATGGCAAAGTATGCACAAATGTGCTTGACACAGTGGATGTGTTAGGGGGCTGTCTCTCTCCATGCCTGAAGAACTAGGAGTTTGGAAGAGAATCAGGGGAGCCTTAGCCACCCATTAACGACTTTAAACTGGGTATGCGCCAATTGAAGCCCCCCCACCTTCCCCCAGCCAGTGGGTAATGGTACACCTGGTCAGCCCAAACTAGGCCCAGGTGAGCTTGATTCAGTCAATGGGGGTCAACCAATACCTTCAACCACGCCTCCCCAGCCAAGTTTAAATAGCGGCGGGACCACCTCCCCTTTTCAGCCACCTGCCCTCTCCTCTTGGAGGCCTGCTGCAGCCTCTCTGTCCCCAGGTCACCACCGGCAAAGCCACCCCACCAAAACAAACCACCAAAACAAACGCCGACTCCAGCCACACCAAAAAACCAGGAAAAAACTCCCTCCGCGATAAAAACACACGCACATCACCAAAAAGCCAGTAACACAACGTCCTGCGGGCGTGAACACAACAAACAACATCTGTCACACCTCACAAATCGAAAACACCTCAGAGCAGCGCTAAAAACAACAAACAAAACAAGCCAAAACAAGGAAAAACAACCCAAAGGCTCTGAAAAAAAGACGCAAGTCGACCAAGCCCTAACAAGCTCAAAAGAGTACACACGGCCTGGGGAGAAGCAGGCCAGAACAGCCACCTCCAACGTGGTGACCTGAGGACAGAGAGGCTACAGCAGGCCTCCAAGAGGAGAGGGCAGGTGGCTGAAAAGGGGAGGTGGTCCCGCCGCTATTTAAACTTGGCTGGGGAGGCGTGGTTGAAGGTATTGGTTGACCCCCATTGACTGAATCAAGCTCACCTGGGCCTAGTTTGGGCTGACCTGGTGTACCATTAGCCACTGGCTGGGGGAAGGTGGGGGGGGCTTCAATTGGAGCATACCCAGTTTAAGGTCGTGGAACCGCACGGCCAGACCGCACGGCCAGAGGATCAAACCCACCGAAATCTAGAGCCCGGGGAACCCACGGGGCCAGTTCTCCTCTGTCCAGTAAGGTCGCAGTGAGTCGGACCCGCTCGATGACAGTAGGCTTTTAAAATGCGTGCATTTCTGAGGCTAGGGAGCAGGAGCCGTGTCTCCCCCGTCCAGACCTATTGTGTGGCCGGAAACTGAGCAACGGGTGACCCCCCCCCTTCACGCCTGAAGGGTGACGATGGGCCGTGGTCTCGGGGTCACCCTGCTATTTGTGAAGAGAAACACGTGGTCGCAGCTTGCAAAGAACCCGTAGGAAGAAGCACGCCTCCTTTGAAAGGCAGGAACCGGAAGTTGTGCCCTGGAGCGTGCGCTCATCCTATTGGTCAGGGCGGTCACGTGGGGGTGAATCCGTCGAGCTGCAGTGGCTGCTGGGAAATGTAGTTTCCCGCGTGACCATGGCTTTCCAACAGCTTCTGGTGGGCAGAGCCTGTGTGGCCACGGCCCTTTTCCTTTGGGGTGGGCCTTGCTGGGAAAGCTACACTCCCAAAGCTGGCTCCCCGGTCCCACCGGGAAGTCCAAAACTCACTGCCATTGGGTTGCTGGCAGCTTAACAGCAACCCTACAAGACAGGGCAGAACTGCCCCTGTGGGTTTCCGAGACTGGGACTGTATAGAGGAGGAGAAGGTGCCCTTAACTGGGGTCTTTACCTCCCCTGGGCTCACTTTTCGAATCTGAGAAAGAGGTTCATGTGCTGGTGTTTAAGGGTCCCTGGTGGCCTAGTGGGCTGTCCTCAGCACCCTGAGTCGACGGCAGTGGGCTTGGGTGCTGGTATTTGAGGGTCAGAACTCCTGTGTGCTCAGCTGCAGACCCTAAAGTGGAAAGTCCGAGCACTTCAGAAGAAAGGCTTGGCCATCTCTTAGGAAAAACCAGCCACTGAAAACCCTACAGAGCCCAGTGCTACCCCCCTCCCCCCAACACAAAGTTACAGTCAACTGAGCCCCGGCCGGTGCTAGTGGCTTCAGGGGTTCCAGGGGTCACGTGTCCACAGTCGATGCAGCACCAATGCTCATTGAGCCCACCTGCCCCAGGGAGGCACTGCTTCCGGGTCCCAGGACAGGGTTCGCGTTCATGGACAGGAGCCTGGTGCCCCAGCAGCGAAGCGCTCAGCTGCTCACAGAAAGGCCGGCGGTTCAAACCCACCCCCTCCAGGGCTGCACGGGAGAAAGGTCCTATCAAGTGACGGCAGAGCAATCCCAAGGGGGCCGTTCTGCTCTGTTGGGTGGGACCCCTATGAGACGGAATAGGCTCAACGGCCCCCTGAAACAGTCACCCCCCAATCCCTGATGACACGTGTGACCATTGCAGTTACAGAACCCTTGCTGTTTGCCAGTTATCAATGCCATATCTATATATATATTCCCCTGTGGGTTTCTGAGGCTGTCGATCTCTCTGGGAGCAGACAGCCTCTTCTTTCTTCTTAGAGTCAGCTGGTAGGTTTGAACTGATGACCTTACAGTTCACAGGCCAACCAAGTTCCCTCTCCGCCACCAGAAGTCAAATATATCAACACATCTGAATCCCTGAAGCAATCCTGTGAGGATGAGAAGTCAGGGTGGGCCCAGTAGGCAGGTCGGAAGTGAGCAGGCCACAACAGAATTGTAGAAGTGTGGGATGGACCTTCCGAGGTGGTGGTGGTGGTGGGCAGGCTGGTCGGCTGAACTGGAAGGTGTGCCTTCTTCCGCCCAGGAACCGGGGATTGGATGGGAGGCTGGACTTTCCTCCCCTGCTGGGCGGGGCTGGCCTGAGTCACCAGCCCGAGGCTGCTTCTGTAGCTGTCTCTGACCTCTGCTCTGGGCAGCTGACAGAACCCTGGGGGTGGCTGGGGAGGAACCCCTGGGAGATTCCATTCTGGCCTGGCCAGAGAGGGGTCCTGGAGACAGACATTCTCTGACGAGTAAAGGCAGGAAAACACAGCCAGTCCCTGGGGTGGAGTGGACTCCTGGAACAGCCTGTGGGGGTTTCTTTTCTGTAAACTGTGCTCCCCGATTACCAGGCCTTGCTCCGGTGGTACCACCAGGTGGGCTCAAAAACCAGGTGCCACCCGTTTGGTCAGTCGGCCAGACACGGGGTGGTGGCAGTAACCCAACCTTTGTTCTGTTTGGCAAACACTCACGTGTGCCAGGGACCAGCCCAGCCACGAGGGTAAGACAGGGCTCCGGATATAGATGGATTATCTTCCTCTCGTTTTCCCATTTCCAGTGAGTGTGGAGGGGGCGGACCGCAGACCAACCCAGAAATAGGGAAGCCAAGTCATCTTATAAGGGGAGGAGACTTCCTTCCGAGGGAACTCCCAGGGCACGTTGCCCTGGAGGAAGAGAGGAGCTGACAGGGAGGACAAAGCTTGTGTGAAGGCCTTGGGGCGGACCAGGTCTGGGGAGTTGGTGTAAGAACTGTGAGGCCTGAGTGGAGTGAGCAAGGGGCAGTGAGGAGGAGGGCAGGG